GTGACAATCATATTGAGTCCATTGATGGGTTGGTGTGCTTTAGTGTGAGACAAAGCTTCGACTGAAAGATGTAGGCTGGAAGGGGATAGTAATCAACAAGGTCCTTTAGTTGAGTTAAGCCCAATACAGAAGCTTCAGGCTGTATAGCATAAAAGCCCTGGTTGGAATTGATGGCCTTGTGAATCTTTACAATGAAGTTTACTTCTTTCCCATTGTATAAGACTAGAAGGATTTCACCCACTTTTAGATCTTTGTTGGTACTTCCTAAAATGAGCCAGAGTCCAGGCTCATATTTGATACCATAAATATCTACAGACTTCAGAGTTCTCTGTTCCGATGGGTCTGGAATTAGGTCAACAATTTCTGGTAAAAGGTCCTGAGTAAGATTACTTTCATCTTGAGGGCGAAAAGAAATTGATGTGCACATGTTGCCTGTAAACTTGTAAGCAAAGTTCAGAACATATTTTGAGACCAAGGTTGCAGTTATGTTCTTAAAGTTGTTGGAAGCTTGGGCAGCATTTTTGAAAAATACGTGTCTAGCTTCAAACCTCATCGTCCAAAGTCTTATCAAGGGACCAAAAAATGTTGTAAGTTCGGCGTAGTGGCACATATAGTGATGCTTTGGTTGCATATCGGCATTGAAAAGTTTGGCCCTTGTCTCAACATATTGAAATATCAAACCTTTTAACTTGACCAGTTGGATCTCTGATATTGTAGGAGCAAATACATACTCACACACAGACTTCAACAAAAGACATAATTTCCATACTGGGTCTTCTAAATCTTGCACTTTGTCACCCAGCAGAAATGGAAATAGTCTTACAAAGAGCCATACCTCAGATGCATGACCTCTAATTTTCTTTAGAAGAGGATCTAATTGAAGAAGGGAGTCAGCTGAGTCCCTGCCAAGGCACTTGAAGTTCGAAATTCTTCTATTGAGAGTTGATATTGAAATCCATTTCTTGACTTCAACAAAGTACCGAAGAAATAAAGCATAGTCTTTTTTTGCTGTGCCCTCCAGGATGTCATGGGCAGCACAAGGGGGGAGGGACGGGGTGCAGACGTGAAAGAAAGGGATGTTGTTCAGTACACTGGGTTTCTTGATACCTTTCTCGTGATCATCAGGATCCTCAGGGTTAAGGTTGCCTACAATTTTATCATATTCTTCAGGTTTACGGAAGGGCATGGTGAAGCTGGGGTTCTTCAGGATTTCTTCTTTCTTGGCTTGACAGAAACGGCATGCATAATGAGCTCGGAAGTTTTCAAGAAATCCACCGATGAAATGCTGGCCAAGGTTATCCCCACACATGTGAGTTACAACTACAGGTACCTTTTTGCCATCAAATTCAATTCCGTTTTCTGCAAGGTCCTTCAGCTCATTAATTAGTTTTTCCAAAACAACTTCAGGTGTGAAAAATTTAAGATCCTTTTCCTTTACAAGGAACGCAAGCTGAACAGCATCAACTTTGGATCTACTGTTTGCATGCATGTTTCCTAGTACAAAATAAAATCCAACACACTTGTATGACCCTGCTATAGGACTTAATGGATAAAACTCAAATGCATCCTGAAAAAATATCAATTGAATGCTGTCCATAAGCCCACAGACTGGATGTTTTGTGAAAGTCGACCCATCAGTAAAGTCCTGATAAATACCTTTAGTTGCAGGACGTTTAAATGAATCTTGGACAAGCTTTCGGATGGAGGGATCTGTAAACATTATGTTCAGAGTTTGTTTAATAGAAATAAAGTGAGCAAACCTCCTCTTTCCAGTATCATTAGGACCCAAGCAGATTTGTTCAGGGTCCAACATAGCACACTTCTGCTTGTAAAATTTTTTACGCATGTGTTCTGTTGTGATGTCAACAACATCTTTACCCTTATGGTGAGTGGCATACAATAAATCCTTCTTCAAAACAGCAGCAGTTACTTGTTCACATTTTGCCTGATCAAGACCAGCTTTTGACAGCTCTGCGTGGAGGGCAAGTCTCATACGATGATGAGATATTTCACACATTAGAGCAATTTTTTCTGAAATGGATTGGACTTTTGTAGCTGGTATTAGCAACACTCCCTCAAGCCATAGGTAAAACTTCACTATCAGATCCCTCACTCTACTATCCGGGTACACATTATCTTTCTCTGGGTCGTGCCTCAAATTTTCAAAGTCATCATTACTGGTGTCTTCGTTATGCTCATCATCTTCTTGATCTGAATCGAAGTCCTCATCCTCATCTTCTTCCTCTTCCTCCGCCGTAATGCCAGATTCATCTGCTGCCACTTGCTGTGCTTGATCATCAACTTTCTTGACATGAAACCTAGTAAAATGACTTTGGAAGGTAGAAACCTTGGTGAATTTCTCTGGACACGGACGAATGGGACAGATGACAACATATCCTTTCCTGAGATGTTGAAGTACATGCTTGCGAAGGAGCTCTTTAGTTCGAAAGGTTTCTTGACAAGTTACTTCTGAACACCGATATGTAACACCGAGTACATCAGCAAAGTGATCAGGGTCTCTCTCCTTTGATGTTGATGCTTCCGAGGGCTGTGCTGAGGGCTGTGCTGAGGGCTGCGCTGAGAGCCGTTCTGAGTGCTTTCGTGAAAAGTGCACACTAAAAGCTTTAACTGTCCAAAATGGTTCTCCACATTTGTAGCAAGGAAACGACTTGCTGTTGTTGTCAAGGGAATGCACTGCTTGATGTTCAGCATAGGTCACAACAGAATGAAAAACTTCTTCACACTTAGTGCACTTAGCTTCAATTGGGCCAGGATTGGCTTCAACACACCCAATCAACAACAGAATGTTCACAAGAGCTAAACACATAGAGAGAGTGGCTCCACAGTCAGTGAGACCAGCAAAGAGATGTGCATTGGACGAAACCGAAGAAGGTCCATGGTTAAAGTTGCCGATTCGTGCCCGCCACACTTCCACTGCGACTCCCATGCTGACGAAAACCTGTTTAACAAAACAAAGAAACTTTCACCAAATTTACTACCACAAAACAACCGCATTAAAGCTCCACTTTTCTATCGCCCACCCCCTCCGTTTTGAACCCAAAGTACTATAATCAAAAATAGAATACAGTCTGAAATTTAAAAAAACCTCTTTTGTTTACCTCAAATTCTGTCAAATTATTTTTGTTACAAATCAAAATGTCATCGCTCACATCACATTTCCTCTTTTATCTTTGCCATACCACATCGCATCAAAAGAGATTTAGACACACAAAACCAGGCTTTCAGTTTACGTTTACCCTCGACGTCCAAACAGACATCCCTCACTTTTTTCGGATGGGGGGGGGGGGGAGGTATCTGTGAATAACCAACTCCCGTTTGCTGTACGGAAGAAGAATAACTGCAATGCATTTCCGGATCCAAAGAACATAGGCCGAATATTCGAGGACAGTTGCGAGATCGTCAAATCACGCGGGCGAGAGAATTAAAACTAACTGACAATTAACAAACCAAGTAAGTAAATAGCGGTGCTGAGAATTTAACGTTGTTTTTTGAGTGCCTTCAGCAACAAACTTTTATATATACTTGCGAACCATTTCGTCCTTTGAACGTGACCACATATCAATTCGTGCCGACCGGAGAGAAACGCGCTTTCTAGCTGGTCAGTGACCCCATTTGAAAATAATTAAACCGAATTGATCCAAATCAAAGTCTCGTTCCCAGATAGTTGGCAGCAAAGCAAAGAGTAAAGATCCATTATAATTCTTACGAACAGTGACCTCGCTGTAGCAGCCAAACATAGTACCGTTCGAGTACCGTTCGTTTGGTCCTAAGAACTATGTCAAAAAGGGCAAGTAAAACCGCCATGTTTTTCTCTATCCGGTCAATGAGTCTTTATGGTCACGATTTGATGAGTTGGTTCCCAGTTGGTTTGGACACTCCTTTTTTTCCTAGAACGTTTCTAATGATTGGGCTTTGGGCCAGGGCCGGATGGCCAGGAGTTAGAGGCTTAATTTTGGTCCCCTCTTTGAATGGTATCATAATCCGGGCCCCTTATTCAGGCATTTTATCCCCCTTAATGGAGGAACATTCCCCGCCATGCAGTCCCCTTCCAAAGCCCTTGGCCCGAGCTAAAACGGGTGGTTTGGGGGGAAAAACAAGTTTCTTAACTAATGAGCAAACTTATTTTTACATAAATTATGATATATTGTTAATTTTGTATTGTTTTTTCTTTAGCTAGTCAGAATGAGTAGTGAGGAGAGCTCCAAGTTCTCACAGAGCTCTGATGGCTCTGATTATGAAGATATTGCTCCTTATTTCTCTGCCAAGAAATTTGATGGAATGCCACCTTTGCAGAAACTTTCTTATCGGAATCAAAAAATCAGATACGAGAAGAGTTTAAAATCTGGTAAGTATAATTGACATTATTTCATATGTATAGTTTTTGATCCATTCATAATTCTTACATATTAATAATCCTTAATTTTTTTTCCAGGTGTTAGGATTTCAATGCCAAAATTCATGCAAGATCATTTGAAAGGCAAAGATAAAGAGAACCAGAGCTCAAATAAAGGTGGAAAGAAGCGCAAATCCACCAACACTACGGAAAAAAGTACGTAAAAATTTTCATAAAGCATATATGCCAAAAGATTTTTTTAAACTTTTCAATATCACCATTATTCCTTTTTTCTGATAGGTGCAAAACAGAGGAAACTTGAAGATGACAGTTCTCCTTCTCAACGAGTCTTGCGAGACAGGGCACAATTATCTTCAGTAGCACAACCCCAATCCAACTGTGCAGCAGTCGGTGAAACATCAAAGGTAAGCAAAGATCAATATTTATTCTTTA